TTATCAAAGCGTGACAAATTTTCTAGAGAGTCTTTTTCCATGGAAACGGTGCTACGAGACGCGGCGTGCATGAAGCGCAAAAAAAATAGAGGAAAGAAAGAAATGCTTTCTACGTGACGGGCGCCCGTCCACCCGGCTCTGCTGCCGCTGCTGCTGTACAGGCACGCGCACACACAGCGCATTTTCCATAAATGCAGTTGATACCGCAATTTCATGCCCATTTGATCGCAATCGTTTGTCAAAGTGACGCTCCAGTTCTATACAGCAGCAGCACCAGCAGTGTATGTGTGCATGTGTGTACGAGAGACAGCTGTATTACAGCAGTCATGTGCACTGCGGCGAACGCGAAAGTGAATAATCGCGAAAAAATAGTTCGATATTTTTGATAAATTCGCGGAATCCGGTAAACAATGTAAAACCGGTCTCTTCCGGATCTCGCGTATGTACACGCTCCGGAGCGCGCGAGAGAGAGAGAGCTAGCTGAAACGTCAGCACGCCCTGAGCACGAAAATCGAATTGCAGTCGAAAATGTAAATTTTTCGCTTAGTCGGTACGAAAACTTCGACTACGCGCTTCGATCGTCGTACACCGGGTTGTTAAGTTGGACGATGAAACTATTATTGTTTTGGCTCCTGACGATCATCAGGCTAAGTGGCTCTGCTCCTGGAGCTGGAAAGGTGCAGATCGCGGCTCAACCAAAGTCAACAACAACGCCGCATCTTCCTACGACGTCGGCAAAAATTAGCAAACGCGAATTAATAACTTTCGTCACTCTGGTGATGAAACGCCTGTCGGCGGAAATCGGCGTGCTCATTCTCAACAATAAATTGTCGCACTTGAATCCGGCGGGTTTGCAAAAGTTGAGGAATGCCTGGGTGATAATAAATCACTTCGTGAAAGAATTTCAAAAATACAAGGACAAATTGGCGGCCGGCGATAGTGTCTCCTCGTCGGCTTCGGAGCAAGAAACATCGGGCTCCGATGTGGTTTATCGGGTCGTCGCGAATCCGGGCTCAATAACGTTGGAGTCCATACCGGAAAGTTTAAGCGGTAAGTGTGTGAAAATTATACGTATCAAACTTTATAAACTCCCCCGTAATTTCAAGAATTTTCATGGAGAAAAAAATTTTTTTAACCCGTCCAGGAGGACAGAAGCCAGTAAAGTTACAAATTCTTAGGCCAGCGAGTAACGAGTATAAAACCATGTCTACCGTGCATTACGAAAAAACACGTAAGTGTAATTAATTCAAAGAGTGGAATAAATTAACTTTTTGTCCTAATGCCATGAATTTAGATTCTAGTAAAACGAAAAAACGCCAGAGGCAAACCAATGATCAATCGTCGGAAGATCATATTAGTCCCGAAGTAAGTACAATTGCTGAAACTATATTCGAGAGCAATAACCCTGGTAGAAATGCTCAACATTAATAATGACAATTTTGGCGATTGCACTGTTATAATTATGATGAAAATATTAGAAGCTCAATTTAAGTGATGGAATTTAAATAGTTTTTCAACTAATTTAAATACGTTCATAGCACTTTAACTCTTCACCACTAGATGGCGAGTACCTTAGTCAGTACATCTACAAATAAATGAGTGAAAATAATTGTATAAATAAAGTGCCTTTGAAATATTATAATTATACTCATTGTGTAATTCATGTCTCTATTTGTCAATTCAAAAGAATTTCAGTTCAGTTCCATGAAACTTTCATGTTGGCCAAAAACATGCCATCAATTTTTGAGCATTTCTATACCAGATTTTATTAAGACTTGATTAAAATGATCTATTATTGAAGGATGCCGTGCAACACTTGCAAACTCTTATTTCTGCCGTATTGCCGGTTCACGACAACGATCGTAACGTGAGTGAAAATTTCTCTTTCTCTTCAATACCGATTTAACGTCGAAGATTCATCAAACTTTCAATTTTAGACCGAAATGATCGTCCGATTGAGCGAGCTTTTAATAGCGGCCCTGCCTCTACTTCAGGAACTCATGCAGGTTGGCGGTTTTTGAAATGATTTACGTCTTGATTATTTAATCGCGAATCCAAACTGTGCGATACTCTGTTTCAGAATAACGTTGCCAATTGCGACCAGGGCTTCGCCACGCAGGGATCGCCTGCCTCGGTGGCTCCCACTAAAATAACAGATACTTTCCAAGACGATTTCGACGTTGACAATTCGTACTTTCCAGATCATTATAGCAATACCGGAGGATTCGGTGCACAGAATCATAACACAGTCATAAAACGCGGGACATACGGGGTGATTTTATTAATCCTTCACTCAAACCAATACTTGATTTTTTTAAATCACTTCTTTATTTTTCACCTCAAAGCCTCCAGCAGCACCGGCCATGCCGAGTCCCGGCGCAGTTCTAGGTGACTCGATACAGAAAATCTTTTCCAGTGGTATCACTCTATTCTCGGCGGTGATGGCAGCTTCAGGTGCCTCGTCCGGGGCATCTTCCGCGCAGCAGCAGGCACCACCGGCACCTGCCTACGGTCCTCCTCCTCCTGCAACAACATACGGATAATAATAGATTCTCAATTTTAAGTTTTACTTTTATGAATGAATTATATAAGCTATTTTGTATACACGTGTATTTGCGGATTACATAAAAACACTGTATAAAAGAGATACGCAAGAGAAGTAGTAGGAATAATTTCTGATTTTCGACGTCGCGCAGAAAGTACTTGTAGAAATAAAACTTTAATGATTCTCTCGAGTCACCACCACCAAGCTGCCATCTCAGCCCTATATGGGTGCAATATCGTACGTACAAACTGCCGCACCGTCGCTGAAAATATTCGTCCTCGTATCGAAGATCAACATCACTGCTGCTGTACTGGCCTTCGGAAATTTTCTCTTTTTTTCTCTTGCTCTTTTTGCTGCCATTATACAAATATATATATATATATAACGCATCATCTCGTATTCCTCGCGTATACATTTCGATGCATAATTTTGCAGCCTCGCGCGCAGCCGACAACGACGACGACGACGAGTATCTCATTTACATATTTATGTCGAAATCTCCCGTGCTACTAGCGAGCTCTTAAAAAATGTGTTCGGAAGTGCAACACATCCCGACGACGACGACACGAAAATCGATGCACACGCGCGCGGGTCATCGTCTACAGTATAAATATTGCATTATATAGCTGCACTGCGTGATGGCGAGCCAGCTATACTACTATCACAAATCACGATTTGTCGTCTATTCGATAATAATCGATAGAAATAAAAGGGGTAAATCAAAAACAGTTAAGAGGCGACATTATACCCCCGTGCGTAAATAGCGGCTATATATTGCGAATTTGCGAATTTGCGAATGGCACGCTAAACTCGTGCGAAATAACTATACGACGTTGGTGGCGACGACGACGACGCCTCCGTGTACGACGATCTCGTATACATACACGGGCGCGCAAGGATAATTGCCATTATGGTTGAAGAGAGAGAGAAAGAGATAGAGGCATTGTGGGTGGGCGATAATCGATAGTGACAGGCTATCAGGAATGTTAGCTAATAGTTTCGAGCAGCTCGTATACACACACATGTACGTATAGCAGGAATATTGTTCTGTGCACTGTGTGTTTGTGTGTGTGTGTGTGCAGCGGCGTATTGGAGAGGAGCGCAAGGAGGCGGAGTATGTGCGGTCGGCTGCTTCCGATAACGATGAATTATCTCCAGAGCGCATACATACACACACATAGCTGAGCTCGAAGAAAGACAGAGAGTAGAGAGCGAGAGAGAACGTATAGGTCTCTGGCGCTGCGCTGCTATGCAGGCGCAGGACCTTCGTGTACCTATATATATATAGGTTATACATAGCCGCTACTGCACTTGATGTATTGTTCCCTTTTATATTTGCCTATATACCGCTGTACGCCAAAGACACCACCCGCGCGTATACATCTATATTACGGACGGCAGCGGCGGTACGGTCGGACACGCGAGGAGCATTGCTCATAACTATTTTCCCATCTGCCCCGTTATTTTCGCTCTTTTTTTTATAGTATATCAGTCCGAGCGCGTCCATTCTCTACTCTCTTCTCTTCCTATATAGTCGCGTTATAGATCTGCAAACTCGGCACGTAATTGTGTGTCTGCGCTGCGTCCGTATTTATACCGAATATACTGGTATACAGGATGAAACTCGGCAGGCAGAGAGAGGAGCATCGATTATACTTACGATGCGCCTCGCTATAAGCATATTTCCAATTTTCTGCGCTCCGATCGCTTTTCTTTTGTATTATCGGAGAGAAAAAGTCCGCACACGAATGCAAAGTTCTAAATATATGTAGATCACCTTGTTTAACTCCTTCGATATAATAGTGCCTATTGAGCAACGACCATTGGCCTTATTATTGACGCAATTGCACTCCCGCGTTAAAGAAAAAAATAATAAGACACAAAATCATAGACACCTGCAGTAGTAGTTGAAGCCTATAGTCTCGAGACTTTATGACACGACTGCGGCAGTAGTAGTAGGCAGGCTATATAGCCTGCACAGAAAGCCGTATAATATATACGAAAGGAAGTGCCGTTGTATATAATACAATCTAGAGCTCGGGCGATTACACAGGACATCCATTATTTCGTAATCTGCTGCTGCTTACTGCCTGCCTGCGAGCGTTAAAGGAGCGCAAGATCGATGTAGCTACTGCAGTTCTGTGTTAATTGTTGTTGTTGTTGTTGCTGCTGCTGCTGCTGCTACTACTGCTGTTTGTTGTTGTTATTTTTGTTACACTTAAAATGCAGTCAGTTGTAGCGAAGCCTTCACAATGTGCACTCGGCTCGTTATTTACTCGTTACTACTCGCCCGATACTGCGCGTTATCGGAAAATTTTCTCGATACCGGTTAGTAGTAGTAGTATTAGTAGTAATTTTTTTCTTCTTATTTGGCGTAATTGTAAATACGCGTGCTTCAAGAAATACAACGCAATATTAACAGGTTGATAGTGAAAAAATACACTAACGTTCTCGTTTTGGTTTCGCAGAGTTCTCGGACTCGGAGAACGCCAGGGTCGTGGGCGGCGCTCCCACTACCATACGCGATCATCCTTATCAGGTAACACAAATTTGGAGTTATTGATAAAAGCTCGCGGGGGTGGGCTCGCGTGGAAGCGAAACGAGTGAAAACAGCCGTTTGATTGTCAAGGTAAACCATTTTCAAATTGGCTTTTCTAGGTGTCGGTGAGGTACATGAGCCGGCACAGATGCGGCGGAGCAATAATCTCATCGAATTGGATCGTTACGGCGGCCCACTGCGTGAGAGCGTGAGTATGCAACAATACGTACATACGCATATGCACTTCTTTCCCAGCGAGCATTCGGATGCGAGAATATTTTTCGCATCGTTCTCGCGCTTAATTCGCTCCCTCTCTCGCCTTCGAAATTAGCAAACGATTCGGTGCACCGATTTAACTACGAGGTGGCGAAATGCGCGCGCGAAATTTATACTCATACGTATTGTATATTGCTAATTGTCTGTAATTTTTTTCAGCATGAATGCGTTCGGCATTACCGTAAAAGCGGGCTCGACGACCTTGAGCGGCCGGGGACAGGTGGTCAGAGCGAAACAGATCATAAGGCACGAGAATTACGCCAGATGGAAATCCGATAGCGACATTGCTCTTATTCAAGTGACTTTCGCTAATTTATCTATACTTTTACACATTATGAGCATTTTAACAGGAGTTATTGATCTAAAAGTCAAATACTGTAGGCACTGGACTGACAATAAAAAAATCTTTTTGTTTTTTTAAATCGATGGGTCGCCCCCTCAAAAGTTTCATACCCCCAAAAAAATAATCTCTACCTAATTTTAGCTCATATTGTTGAAAAAAACCTGTGCCACATGACGGGTGTGGATTAACATTAAATTAAATGGAAACCCCATATGTGTGTAATACGAGAAAACGACTTTTCCATTTAATTTAATGTTGATCAACATCCTTCTTGAGGCGCGGATTTTTTTCAACCATATGAACTGAAATTTGGTATAGATTATTTTGTTGGGGGTTTGAAACTTTTGAGGGGGCGTCCCGTCGATGTAAAAAAAAAATTTTTTTTTTCTTGTCAGTCTACTAGGCACATATTAAACAACGTTTTCAATTTTGCACGCTGATGCATGAATATTTTTTTATAACTTTTTATGTGCTCATACCGATACCCTTTGGATTATAAATGTCCCTTGCTTATAATTAATCAGTTCTTTTTCATTTCGATATTATTCAGACAATTAAAAGTAGAACATTATAATTTAACATCATTTTCTAGATTTAATCTAAAGTCTCTGATAGAAATGCTCTACATTGACTATGACATAAGATTCAAAATATGACTATTAATTAAAATTTTTTCAAATGCATTACCATTAATTGGCTTATTTTATTAATCACATTATGAATGAATTGAAAATGACAATTTGACCGTTTAAAAAAGATCACTTTTCAACCAAATTTAATACAATACCTTGAGCCTCTATCACTAGATGGCGAATATACCTTTTTTTAAAAATCTGCAAGCGGTAAAATAAAAGTAACGGTATAAGTCAAGTCATCATTTAGAAAAACTTCTATATTCAGCGACTTGTAAAGTACATTTCTATCGGAAAATAAATCATGACTTTGCAAAAGTTCTCAGTATATCAAAAAATTTCTCAAAACGCTCTAAAATCTGCAAGTTTAATGGTCTAACGCCACGGAATAAAAATCGTTTTGTGCATGCACATTTGCAGGTAAATCCGCCGCTGTCGTTCGGCAGCAACGTCCAGCCGATCGATCTGGCCGACTTCTCGGATGATTACGAGCCGGGCAGCAAAGCCTCGGTGACCGGCTGGGGCGTGTTCACTCGGGCCGGCGAAATAAGCAATTATCTGCGGGAAGTCGCCGTGCCCATCATCAGCAACGACGAGTGCATGGAGCTGTACGAGGGCCGAGACATCACCGAGAGGATGCTCTGCGCCGGCTACGTGGGCGTCGGCGGTCGCGACGCCTGTCAGGTATTATTAATTACAAAATTATTGCGTTGTTGTGTTTATTGACGAATTACGTGGAGCCGCTCATACGTGGGCACGCGTATCATTAACTTTTCAAGTCGACGTGCTGCCCTCTACGTTATAATACGTACGACGCAATCAAGTGACGTCTTTGTCTGTGTTGTGTGTCTGAAGGGTGATAGCGGAGGTCCGCTCGTGCTGTCCGGTCGGCTGATTGGACTGGTATCCTGGGGCATCGACTGCGCCTCGCCAAGATATCCCGGCGTCTACACACGCATAACTGCCCTGCGCAGCTGGATCAATAGCAAAACTGGCCTGTGAGTCGAGGACGCTCATAGATTTTGAACAATTTTCATTTTTCTTGCTCGTTCTATGGAGAAATGGTATATTTTGTTATAACGATGAAATTCATGAAGAATATATATTCAATGAAGGAATTTTTAATCATGTTTAAAATTGTGTACTGTTCATTCTTGTAAAGTTACATCTTTTATAAATTTTATTAAATATATACTTTTAACGAATAACGACGAGCTTTGCATGAATTACATAACTTAGATAATTAATTAAGTGGTTGCGACGGACAGCCTACCCCGGATGGGTAATTCAGCTCGACTGCCGTGCACTTTATTTATGGGGGCCCGCTTTACCTGACTCGAGTCCCAGAGGGGATATTGGGCCCGTCACCAGCACGGGCGAGCCGTGAGCCCGTTCACTCACCTTCCTTCGCCTAGGCTTCTGATACCTGAAATTCTCGAATAGGTCAAGCGAAATGAATTGACACGCGTTCCTTTACGATTAATTGATTTATCTTTATTTAAGGCCCACGAGGGCAAACGATAACAAATAATACGCGAATTACAATCTTCGGCTTACGATACGGCCCCGTAGCCGCTTACGCACGCGTTGGGCACTTTCCGATCGCCCACGAGGGTCGAGACTTGCTCGCACGTTACTATCGGCCCAGTGTCGTCGCTACGACACTCGCGTGGCCTCACTTACACTAACACACTCGCTCACACACACACACACACACACACACACACACACACACACACACACACACACACACACGGGCGGCCCGGCAGCCGTGCCGACCAACGACTTAAAAATACCTTACAATTACCCCAAGTTCTTCGGCGCCTCGCTGCTGCACTGATGACCTATCGTCGATGCTCTGGGTATAGTCTTCTTGGCCCAACTACTAATGCTGCCCGCGTCCGGGCTTCGTCGTACCTCCACGTGTGTTGTCTTCATTCAAACTTCTCGTCCTCCTTCGGGCTCCGCGCACCTCACTCGTGCGATTCTGTCTGCCCGATCGGACAAGTCTGCTCCGACGTGTCTTGCCCACCTGGGCTCCGATCTGACTCGTGTATGCAATTCCCCACGGGTACTACACGGGCATTTGCTCACCCGCGTCACAACGACAACTTCAGCAATCACTTCGGCAAATTCGGCTTCACGCACTAGCTCGCGTTTTCCTGCCTCTCTTATCACTCTGCTTTTCGCGTGGCCTTCTTACTTGCCAGCGTATTCTAATCTGCCTGCCTCGTAACGAAAGGAATTCGCCCGGTGTCTGCTTGGCTCTTTTCTGTCCTTCTCGCACGTGTTGATACTGGGCCACGCTCCTGGCTTCACATCATCAGTCCGACGGGCCACTGCTTATCATCTACCTGAAAACGCGCGAGAGAAGGGAGACACACACGCACTCACTCATACATACGCGCGTGCGGCAGTCTCGGCGCGACGCATTTTCTGCGAGTGCTCGACTCGCTTACTGACGGCTTGTGCTCCGTCACATGGTATATTAATGAAAAATGTGAATGTACGCAGCAGTTATATAGCATGTGAAAAATTTGGCTTTTTTTTTTAATTTTTTAATTTAGTAAAGAGAGACGTTAAGTACCTGGGTAGAAATGGTAAGTATTAATAATGAAAAAATGATCGAAAAATGATTAATCACAATATTTTAAATACATTACTATTAATTCACTTATTTTTGGCAATTTTTCTGATATAGTCATGTTAGAAATACTAAGCGGATTTTAAATTACTTGAAAATGACAATTTAACTGTTTCAAAAAATTTAGACCAGTTTTTAACCGTTTAATACACGATAAAACTACTTAACTACTAACTCTGCCATTAAATGGCGTGTTTACCTTTTCAGTAAATCTGCAAGTGGCTAAGTAAAAAAATAGTATAATTCAAGGTAGATTAATCGTGTAAGCAGAAATAAAATATCTGCATTAACAAATCAAATACGTATAGTATTTTAAATTCCAGTTTCAATGGCCCTTTTGTGTTTCTTTACCTTATATATAAATACACATATATTTGGTAAAAAACTAAGTATAGAAATGTGTTAAAAATTTTTGCCAAGCGAATCTTATAGGTAGTGAAAAATTTCTCGAAAGTAGTCGCACACTGAATTACAAACTCTTAAAACTACGAAGAGCCACGCCTGTATCGAATTTAGCATTCGAATAAATCTCCAAAACCTCTCGATCGCTAGCTGCGATTGATCAAAAATTTGCGTTTAGGACCGGGAATAATGAATCATATTAATAGTTTGTACACGCAAGAAAGCCGCACGTCTGAATACCTGCGAGAATCGCATACACTCGACAGCTGTGTGTGTTATACTATACTATACGCGGCAGGGCGTAATCATGCAATTGGGAATGCGTCGTAGCTAGAGATATAGCATTGAAATCTATTAGCACGCGTGGGGGTGCGAGTTTAGCGGTGCGGCAAGAGCTCCTATATATAAATCAATTTCTGCTGTAATAAGCTCTGGACTCTCTCTCTCTTTCTCTCTCTCTCTCTCTCTCTCTCTCTCTCTCTCAGCTTCTACGTATACATATAACTACACGTGTTTGTTGCGTCGAAATAGTTCACCAGGTCGATGCCTCTCCGCATACGGTGTGTATAATACGTATAGATATGTCTAAGGGCCTGCATATCAACAATAACACAACAAGAACACAGGCGAGCGCAGGCGCCAGTAGTCATGACAACAATAGCATGTAGCGGCATGGCTATGTGTAAATAATGCGTACACATTGTTGTAATATGTGTTTACAGATATACATACGTTAATAGAAACGTAGGTCGATGGTGGAAGGTAACGAGCGCATTGCGATTATTTCATACTTTTCATCGAGTCGCAGCACCACATTATCTTACGTACTCCGCACTGCAAAGATCGTAAAGAATGTCCACCGTACAATAGAATCTCCAGAGAGAGAATAATTGACATTTCGAGAATGTATATAGCATTGGTGATGCTGGCATTAGTAGTCATCGTCGTCGTCGTCGTATAATCGATAGCTGCACATGGCTGCTGCTGCTGCGAGTTATGTGTACAGGACAACTCTGCTGCTGGATGTGTGTATACACAACACATCCGGCACATCAATATATGCCCGGGTCCAATAGGGTATATACAGTTTGGCACCTTGTGCATCATTGATTGCGCGTCCAAGCTAATTATAAATCAATGCGCAATTTTTAAAACAAGCCCTAGCCCAATCTGAGTCAGATATACATGTCCGTTCGATACATAAATCCCGCTCTCATATCCTTTATACGATCCTGTCAATTTCCGAAACTTCGTCGAAATCTATTTCTATACAGTTACCTGTTGACGAGCCCGGTAATCTGTACGATAATTGTATTCTATATCACGTATTCGAACCGATGGTTATACAAATGCGCATAGAAGAATCCGTGCCCGAACGCATCGCGCATAAAGCAAATAATTCTGGCAACCATAGCAGTAGCATCAGCTTCGAGAGCTGGCAAAATTTAATAAAGCCCTTTTTACGACGTGTTATGACTCGTGCGTGCGTATGTGCATGTACGAATATATTCGCTCGCATTGTAACTCGGCGAGCGTATAGATGCGCGCATATTTCTCTTATATATGAAATTAACTCGTACATGAACGCACGAGCTTGTGTTGCATGTGTGTGTGCGCGAGAGCTTGTCACGGGTAGCTCACTTTGTTATATTGCCTCGCGTTGTTGTAATACTTATCCAGGTGCGTGTATGTGTATCATGTTGCAACAACTGGTACACACACTCATACGCACAGGGAGAGGGTATAAATAGGTTCGTTGTAAGTATATTATTTGTGCATAGCCAATTTGCAAGCTCGCGCAAGTTTATGTGTACGCGACGAAGTTACATTGAATTCGAAAACTCTTTTTCCTGTTCACGCACATCCGAGCCTGCATCATTTTTGTTTCATCGCAGCGCGACAACTACACGTATACATACGGCTGCTAGCTCGTTCAATGACAAATTCAAGAGCGCATTGATGAATAAACGCGAATCCCCCCGAGCTCGATCGCAAGTGCACGTATGGAATGCGTTTATACGAGAGCGAAATCAGGAAGATGTTTTATCGCCGTTCGAACAAATATTTTTCAATTTCATTTTACGCCGCTGCGCGCTGATATACGCGGATAGCGAGCGAGAGCTAGCTAGCTAGCTGGTTATGGCGTTTTGTCTTATTTAAACATGCGCACGCGTATACATCGCTAACAAAGGACGAGCACCAGTAGCGGCAGCAGCTTGTTTCTCTTGTTTTACAGCTGTATGTGTGCTGCTGGCCTTTTATTGAATATCAACGTCGCGATCCTTCCATAATTTTCTATATGGCCTCAAGGTATTTACATCATGTAGGATATATATGCGTGTGTGTGTGTGTGTGCGCGGGGCCACGGATACGGGATACATTTACGACGAGGATGCGGATGCGAACCAGAGAGAGAAAAGTAGCGAAACGGTGGAGAGCGAGAGAGACACAAAATACGCGCGACATGCAACGGATCACAGCGGCAAAGAGAAAGAGCGATAGGCAGGGAGGGAGGAAGAGAGCAAAAAAAGAGCGGCAAAGCGAGAAAAATACATCGAGTGCATCATAATTTAAGCTCCGAGTTTTACACATGACCCTTTTTTTCTCTCTTTCTCTCTCTCCCCATGTGTGCGTGTGTGTATAGCGGCTGCAAACTCTATACCTGTATAGTACTCGAGTGCACGTGAGAAAGAGTATAGCATCAGCTCTAGGCTAAATAGATAGCCGTTCGCTTATATGAGCAATTCCGGAAATTAGTTTCGAATTTTTCGACTAAAAACGGAACAATTTTTTTTCGTTGGACGCATACTTTGAACATTGGGTATTGTTCTTGAAGGTCCTAGGAAGCTAAAAAAATGCGTGAACAATCGAAATTTTAATAGGTAATTTTTTTATAAGCATTTGTGTTCCGAGGAAAAATAATTAGTGCAGGCAAAACGCGCGCTCCATTATCCAC